GTGTGTGTGTGTGTGTACAGTATGTCAGTAGGAAATATCAGTTTACAAACATGACAAACACTTTTTTTTTGTTAGTGAAAATGCTAGTGGCCTAAGACTTTTGCAAAATTACATATATGGTATATGTAAAAGTTATATTGTTTAATATGTGACATGCAAGGGACTCTACATCTCAATAATTGGCAAAAAACACCATTTGTCTCAATTTGCACTACAACAATCTGTCCAAAACAATGCAATGCAATTGTTTGGTCTAACAATAAATATGTGATTCTACTCGGCTTAATGAAAGATAAATGAATGAATATATAAAGATATTATAGGCCCATAGAGGGGTATAGAGGCTAAACGCTTCATGCTAACAAACTAAACTATTTTTTTTTTTTTTTTTTTCACAAGCGTCCATACAAACAGAGCTACAGGAGGACAGTCCACCTAACAAGCAAGAGGAAAATAAACATTACCAAACAAACAAGACACTAGGGCTGAGTAAACAGGCATGGGAAAGGCATGATGGTGCCACTGTGTGTGACAGAGAGAGAGGCCTGGGTCCCCATGCAATGGTTTAGCAGAGAAAAAGCAAGCTGAAAAACATCTAGAACTTACTGTGGTGAAGTGATTTGGTGGTTAATGATATAGATAAGTAACTTTAATGTTTGTCGGTTTCAAACTGAGAAACATCAAACCGTAAGTTACCAGAAATCCAAAAATTAACCACATGAAAAAAATTTACCAGCCAGTCAGACTTTTTATCAGCCAATTTAATAAAGAAAACTGTTAAATGTATAATAGCAATGTAGACATTGTGTGCCAAAAGGTTTTTTTTAAATAAATACAACTATTAAAATAATATATATAAATTAAAAAGAATACATAAGTTATTACTTACTTTTTATAGATAAGTTTGCAAAAACACAATTTGTCTCAATTTGCACCACATAATTTGTCAAAAACAATGTCGTTCTTAGGCCTAACAATAAATATGTGATTCTACTCGGCTTAATGAAAGATAAATGAATGAATATATAAAGATATTATAGGCCCATAGAGGGGTATAGAGGCTAAACGCTTCATGCTAACAAATATTCAGCTCATTAACACACAATCTTCTCCATTAGCACTTTTGGAAACAGCTTACTGAGTGTGAGAACAGACATCCATCTGAAAGGGTGTCTGACTGAATAAGATTGAGTGAGCAGCCAAGAAGCAGAGGCAGTTTGACAGAGGTGTTGTGGAAGGGTCCGCTGGTGCTGCTCTGCATTGCATGAGAAAGCGCAGGCAAGTAAGGCAGGTCTATATCGGGCACGCAGTCAGCATGCCAAATGGGTTACTGGACAGCACAATGTGATTGACGTCCTGACAGCATGCCAAGCTTTCATGGCATGTCCAGTGTAACACAGGTACCCGTGAGCCAGCACAAGTGTGGTTCGGGCTGCTAATTCAAAATTAACTGCAACTTGGCATCTGAAGGGCATCAGATACTTAGCGGAGATGAGTGATTAAAAGGCCCAGCTATTATCTTAAAGCCATCACCTCATCCAAAACCTTGGCACTCACTCAGCCTCGAGAGGTGGAACAGATCTTTGTTCTGTCATACCAGAGATTCTGAAATGCCCTGATTTGGGCAGCACAGCTGCAGTGGGACATCTGGAGCCTCTTTACCATGCCCTCCTACTCCACCCCTGCCCAACAAACCATGAGCACCAGCACAGTTACCCAGAGTTCTTTTGGGTCATTGACATTTAACGCACCATTCACAGTCACAATCAGCCTCTTCTGCTCTATATGTCTTCAAATACTGATCCATGCCATGGTACAGTGAATGAACAAGGCTTTACAAAAGAGAGGCCTGACAGCAGTGGTATGCATGGGGGGGGGCTCAAACCCCTGCCCCTTTAATCGCTAAAGCTAGAGTGCCCTTTGGGTCCGATCTAGCGATTTCTACCAAGGGGGAACGCAATCCCACCCAACCATAATTAAAATAAGCACTCTGGGGATAAGCAAACACTGTACAACTGCGGTGGAAGTCAATAGTCTCAGTCTAAATTAAATGTAAATGGTTTTTTGAAAGATAAATAATTTTTATGTCTAGAGATGGCTGGTTCGGTTTTGATGAGGTTAAATCTCTTTTGCAGTGACGGCACTGCCTCCATCCGCTAAAGTATCAGACGTTTATATTTAACTTAGACTCAGGCAGGCTGATTCACCCCACGGTAATTGAGGGTTGAGGACAGTAAGCTCAGCTGGATTGGGAGTTTTTTTTTTTTTTTTTGCGAAAATGTGTTTAGATTCGAATACTACCCTAATTATACAAAAACAGCCATTGCTAAAGTCTCAAATATGGTGAGAAGTTTGAAGTTTGTATGGTTGCTATGACAACCAATGAACATTCTAGCAAAAGCAATTACAGTCTGAAAAAAATTATCTGTCCACATATAACCTGAAAAGTCAGGGGGAAAGAAGAATTTGATTTAAGAAAAAAAAAATCAGATTTCACCTTCATTGCGGAAAAAAGCATTAAGCTTTGAGACTTTTTGAGATGTTTTGAGACATTAAGCATGTTCTTTAGACACCACAACAAACAGGATGTCACACTCTAGAGCTTCTAATAAGTGGTGCAACTGTTTAGTGAACTTATGTCTTCACACTCAGTGGCTTTGTCCAACAACTAAGATGACCGAATCAATCATGTCAGACACTCCAGCCGAAAGCAGAGCCTCTTAATCTCCATGCCCTTGTGTGACACGTCTGACCTCACCGAAGCAGGTGCCAGTCTTAAGGAATGCTCGGAGGTTAGCAGAGGTCAGATAGAGCATGCGGTGAACCCCAAAGAATGGCAGGAACGTCCATCCTGTGGAGGTAGGGGTTCATGGATGGAGACGCTTCAAATTCGGCGCCTTCAGACTTTGTTATGCTTAGCGTATCGTAAAAAAAATACAGCTGCCTCTCCTGTGCCAGTTATGTAGCAGCAACCATCCATGAGACAGCCGTGAACAGATTAATGGTGCCAAACAGATGGTTGTAAGAATGTCTTCCGAAAAATTCATTAGCTCAGAACACATTTGAACATAAAAAGACTGCTTGTTTCTTTCAAAGCCTGTCCCTTGTTATTTACGTGTCTTAACTGTCCAACCTGGCACATTTTTACGGTATGGAATCACACAGCACTGTTTTGGGAACACATCTTTAGAAAATCCGTGCATGCCGATTAAAAAGAACATTCCTTTGACCTCCTCGCAGCTTTGCCAGGCAATGTGGTAGCTCCAAAACAAAGAAAACAAATAGTTGACCACTGATGAGTCCAGTGCTGGCAAAGCAGTAAATCTTCAATCCTGGCTACTTTTCATCAACTTTGCTGTGTTCAACGTCCATCTGACGATTTTTTCTTTTTCAAATCCTGTAGGATTCCACATGTTTACCTTGGCTGTTTTGTTAGATGCGTCCACATGCTGCTTGACATTCTGGGAATGTTATTGACAGCTGAGCACAACTGAATTTGAAACAAAAGTGGAGAAATATTCACCTCTGGATAGATGTGTACTGAATGGACATACTGAATGTTGACAGTTCAGCATGTGACCACAACAGTATTCAAGATACGACTTATTGATATTCTACATCAAAATGTAAGATTAGAAAAGCAGAATGAAAGGAAGGAAATTTGAGGGATAACTTAACATCCAACACAACCAAAACCTGACCACTAAAGAGCAGGAAAATTGGGTGGTAATAAAAAAAAAAAAAAACACTCAAGCAATCAACAGCAAACAGAAGAGAAAGGAGGCTGAGAGCGAGCGAATCCCCAAACTAACCTGCTTCACTTCAGCCGGCATCACGAAAATCCTGTTTGGTTAAGCCTCTGGGAGAAACGCAAGGAGAACAATATTCTCTTGTGAGTGGAGTTTGTCTGTCTGTCTGTCAGTCTTTCGTTCCTTATTATGCGAGTATGTCCTGTGAGAGCCGAGGCAGCTCAGAGCCTCAGAGCCATCCTTTCCCGACAGTCACATGCACGAATATACTCTGTCTCTCTCGTCTTCTTACGTCGTCTCTCTCTCTCCTTCTCACACACACGCTCTTTCTAGCACATGCTCATAATCCTCTCAGGGACAGAAGAAACCCGTCTCCACCGTCGCCGAGCCAGGATGCTGCAAACGTTGGGGCGAATAATGATTTCAAAATGAGAAGAGATGCTCTAGACAGTCCAATGAATCCTTCAATAAATTCAGGAATCCGGCTGAAGAGAACCAAAACAAAACAGCTCACACACAGAGAAGTGGAGGGGAAAAAAGTTGTCCGGTGCAGGAACAAAACCCTCTGGGCAGACTAAAAGAAAGGGGGGTGGACGGGTGTAGAGGACAGGGAGAGGGGGGTTTGTGTGCGCGTTTGAGTGAATAGAATCTTCCCAGAAGGCAGTTGCCCTGTTCACAGCGTAGAGTTTTGTACTCTCATTCTCTCCCTCTCCTCACCGAGCATATAAGCAGACAAGGGTCAGACGGATTGGAGGGGGAGGGGGCTGACAGACAGACGCAGCTGGAGTGGAAAGAGAGAGAGAGAGAGAGAGAGGCTCCACCCAGCCAACATGCCAAAAAAGCATGAGCCCTGAGAGGGGGGCAACTTGAGGTCTTCACGGGTCCACTTGGATCTGAAAACCCGAGGTCCGACCCGAGACCGGAGCGGGTTCGGGTCCAAAACTTTGACGAGTACCTCGGACACGGGTCGGGTTCGGTATTAGCGGCCTCGGGTCTCAGGTCTCAGATTTAAAAAAAAAAACATGCTTTTCCCAAATGGACCCGATTAGACCCGAAATCTTTTAAACTATCCCGAATGCATAGGTTACTTTCACTTTCGTGTTAAGAGAGGAACATTTTTCTTTACTGACTGCGGGGCTGCAGGCTGTGCACACGTCAATGCCGTTTACGTTCGGGTCCAGTCGGGTTCGAAAATAAATGCCGTCGGGTCGTGTCGGACTCGGGTCTAATTTCATTGGGTCGTTTTTTTCTTTAAAAAAAATTAATTTATGCACGTCGGGTTCGGGTAAGCAGTGATTCGGGTCAGGTACAGATTTTAGGACCCGAGAAGACCTCTAGGGGCAACACTCCACAAAACTTTGCTATTTTTCTTTCCTTTTCTTTTTTTTGTACCCATACGGTCTCTCTTGGCCTGTTCTTTTCTCTCTCAGCATTTGTCCTTTTGTCCTTCCAGCCTGCTAAATATGACAAAGTAAATGAGAACCAGCCAAATCAGTCAGCAGGACACCAGGATTTTTCCTGACTGACTGCGGGGCTGCAGGCTTTACACACGTCAATGCCGTTTACGTTCGGGTGCACAAAACTTTGCCATTTTTCTTTCCTTTTCTTTTTTTTGTACCCATACGGTCTCTCTTGGCCTGTTCTTTTCTCTCTCAGCATTTGTCCTTTTGTCCTTCCAGCCTGCTAAATATGAGAAGGGAAAGGAAAGAGGTTGCAGAATGATTTCAGACAGCATCCAGTGACTGATAATGTGAAAGAATTTTAATCCAAATCTATGAATGGCTTTAACACAAAGCCGGACGGAGGCAGAGTTCAGGGATGGGCACTTTACACACAGGGTGTCAAACTCATTTTAGATTGTGGGCCGGATACGGGACTACTATTTTTATTTGTTGTACATTGGCGCGCTCGTGGAGATAATAAAGTTCATAATCAACTTCATCCTAAACTCACTAACCCCATACTGGGGTTACAAGCCTGCGTCTAAATGTAACTTTATGAACTTATTTGTCCAAGAAACTCCAGATTTGAGTGCAATGCCAGACAAACTTTACCATGTCGAGTAGAAATGCCTCAATAAACTGTCAAAGCTGAAAATATTCCACCTCGGAGCTCACACACTTTTACTTAAAAACCAAATCCTTCTCAAACTTCGAACAACAGTCAGTGCAAACACACCCCCATACTGAAGAGCATCATGTCTTATTTAGCAGTAACAGCCTGAATCTGTCTGCAGTCGGCCTGAATGAATTTGCTTCTTTTTCTAGAGTCTGACACCAAACAGACTGCAGAACGCCCTGTGGTCGCTGAACTGTATAAATATGTCAACAGAAAAAGTGTTGATAAATAAATAAACTGAAAGTAATCAGAATGTTTTAGTGGATTCAGGCCTGAGGAATTACTGAGGTTAACGTGGACTACTGTGGAGAGAAATACAAAGAGAAAACCACAGATAATGAAACGAACAAGAAAAGATAAGAAAGATACGCAATGTACATGCGACTGTTTTAGTCTCATAAATATATTTATGAGCGCTGAATATTTGAAAAGGCTTTTGCTCAAGAGGATGTATGATGTCTGCTTAGGGTTGCAGCACTCCCAGATTTGAAATTCAATGAATTTTCATCATTAGAAGTTTTCAAAGGTGGCGACTCAGCGAAGATGGCATTTTAAATGCATCACCTCTGTAAACGTGCACTGATTACATTTAATACACACAAAAAATGTGGGACTGCAGATTGGGAAATAAACATGCAATATTGTTTCGTTTGATATGCATGATCAAATACAAAAATGTCAGTCTTGGGCAAGCTGCAACCTCCCGCTCTCTCTCGTGAAGCCAACACGGAAGTGACTTAAACTGTAATTCATCGACTGGCCGCTAGAGGCTGGCTGCAAAAGGGAGTCAATTCCATAGACTCCCCATGTTAAAATGCTCAACTTTACAGCAGAAAAAAACGTTTACAGCCTGGTTCAAAAAATGATTTTGGTCTATATAGCTAATTTTGCCCTTCATGACAACTGTGAGGGGGGTCAGAAAAAACATGTTTACAGCCTGGTTCAAAAAATGATTTTGGTCTATATAGCTAATTTTGCCCTTCATGACAACTGTGAGGGGGGTGAATTTTCTTTATAACTCATCCATTTAAATTATATTAAGCCTTAAAGTTCTGCATAATTAAGGGCGTGGCCACTTGAGTGACAGGTGGATTGCCGCTGCTGTCACCACCGTCAAGCTATGTGGGCGTGGCTTCAGCAACCAGCTCCCGCCTTTTTGCCCATTTCCAATTATCCGGGAGTGACGCGCGGTGACGTGCTGCCAAGATGGCGACGGCCGGCTCCGCCTACTTTAGACTTCAAAAACGCTCTTCGGAAAACTGCGGGTGACGTCACGGACACTACGTTCATGTTTTTATACAGTCTTCACACTTTATGGTCTTGGGTTTATCCCAACACAGAGGTTCTTAACAACAACACAGATCTGGTAAATGAGATCCTGAGAGAGAATATGAAGAATCAAAACTAAAAAGGAAAAATGTGGAGCATAAAATTTAGCATTAAAGGAATAGTTTCACCAAAAATATAAATTCAATCATTATTTACTTGTACAATATTTACTTGTTCCAACCCAAATTGCTTTTTTATGTGGAACATAAAAGGTGAATTTCTGAAGAATATCCTGGCCATTCTTTTCAATATAATGAAAGTGAATGAGGATAGTTACGTTGTTAAGCTCCAAAATGATCCAACGATCACAATAAAATACCATAAAACTAGTCCACATGACTCTATATTCCAAGCACTTTATTCCATGTTTCCTAAAGTCAAACCAAAATACTCACTGAAAATCAGCATTTGCTCTCCATGGTGTTCATATTATTATAATCAGCAATGTCAGATCCATAAAGGATCACTCTGTTGAGTTGGATCTTTTCAATTAATCCACTGATCCAGTTCACAAAACAGGTGTGAATGATTTGTTCATGAATCTGACTAGTTCTTGAGTTCAACCCACTGTTTACATTTTTCTGTTTCGGCCCACAGGAGGGGAAGATTATCAGTGAATAACAATGTAAATTTCACAACTCATGGTACTTTTAGTTTTTTTTGTCATTTTAGAGCTTGAGAATGCCATACAGCTTTGAAACAACATGAAGGTGAGTAAAAAGTGACAAAATGTCAATCTTTGGATGAACTATTCCTTTAACTACCCTACATCTCACACTGTGGTGATAACCATCTCCTTCATTTTTCACAAACTACCATCAGAACAGCCATTAAATATCATCTCCACACCTCTGCTTTCAGTCTGAGCTGTCCTACTGTGTCTTACTGACATTCTCCCACAGTAGCTGCTCTCCAAACATTCACTTACTCAAAGCTCATTATCCAGTTCTCTGCTCGAATTAAGTCTTGATATAACACAACATGTGTAAATAGACCAGGGCCCTGGTAATAAGGTAAGTGACTAACAGTCCGGACACGCACACCAATCTCTGGATAAATATAAAGAACAGAAAAGAGTCTATCCATGCACACACAAAGTCAATAAAGCCACCAGAGACCAGACAGAAATATTACACATTATATATATCAGTGGGGAAACAACAAGAGAATAAAACAAAATAATTTAGCTGATCCTATAATGTGCTACCTGACACATAGAGTGATGACTATTTAAATCCTTTAGGAGAAAGTCAAATAAAAATATCAATATTTTTGCTTTCACTGTTTAAATATCATTTTAAACAACATTTCTAGCTCTATATATTGGAATATATTGTTAAATCAACCCCTTTCTGTAGAAACTTCCAAGTAATCTCCAGCTATAGCTTCAATCGTTATCCATCAACAAGTTTGTGGCACATAAACTGTGGTGCTAAACCACTTTAAGACAACCACTATTAAAAGTCAGTGTTGAAGCCTCCTAACAACTTTTTCAAGTAACAGTGCATTTTACACACTTCAAGTGGTTTCAATTTAGGCTCCCAATAAGAGGGTCAAGCACACAGACCTGTTTGGTTGTATATGAACATGCCGAGTAAAGGGGCCACATTCCTGGAGTGACTCAGGAGTCTCATAAAGCAAGAGATTCTTATTTTAAACACACAGTTCCTTACATGGGATCCACTGAGTGAGCAGCAGTTGGTCTTTTAAAGGGGTCATGAACTGTCTTTTTTATTAATTTGTACTGTTCTCTGATGTCCACTTATAATGCTATCAAGATTTTTACATCAAAACACATCATAATTTAGAAGTAATAGGCTATTTTCTGTCCTGTTTTGACCCCCCTAATCGAAATGTTTGAATAGGCGTGGCGGATTGTGACTGGCTAACAATTTTGTATGTTTGACAGCCTATATCCTTCATAGATGGAAGCTGCTGTGATTTAGGTTAAAAACACAAATACTCAGTACATATCAAATGATCTTTAATAACAGAAAAAGCAATAGTGACCCCATAATACAAACAGTTACTCACACTTGTGTGGTGCGACATTACTGTCGGATCCAATATAGTAAGCACAGCATTGTCTTTTAGTTTCAATCTTTCTGAAAATCCTGTGTCGAATTGTGCCTTGTTTGTAAACGATCTTCTTTTGTGGAGACGGTGTTTAGCCACACTGTTACATCATAAAGTGGCACATTCCACAACCTGTCATTTTGGCAGATTGTCTTCAATGTAAGCTGT